AGTCGGTCGAGGGTCTGTCGAGCACTTCGTCTGCTACTAACTACATTATAAGGGTTCCCTACATTTCTAGATCTTCAGTTCCTTAGCTATGACTGTCAACACATCCAAAGTGCATATTGTGAATGATATAGTCATTTCTACGCGAAAACAAGCTTACATGTGTCTGGAATATTGGGGGGTAGGTACTGTACCCCCCAGGAAAATTATTGAGGGGGTCTGGACCCCCGCGACCCCCCCCCCCCCCTGTGGCGGAGCCCCTGGAAAAAAACTAGTTCCCGGTATTGGGCTAGGACCTGGCAATCAAAGTATGTTGACCCTAAAATTATGCTCCATGATTTAAGTTTGTATCCTATAAAGCGCTGACCGTTCTCAAATTCACTTAATTTAATCGGCTAATGATGCTTAACGCTGGTCTGGATGCCAAGTCTGACTGGCGGCAGTATCACATTGCGCATTGTGCATATATTCAGGGCGGATACTGCAGCTCTGGATGCCACTCGAATGTGTGCTGGGTATATACGGCCTTGGTTTGGTGCACGAAAAGCTGCACCAGTCGAGTCCATGCCGTTGACGATAAACTTGGATGACCTCAAATTACGTCAGTGACGTCATGTATGATGCCACGCAGGATCTAAGCTGAAAAGAAAGACCGAGTTCAACAGCCAAGATGACATTTCCAAAATAAAGAGAATATCCTTCGACGCAGCTGGACAAGACCAAGACTTGTTGGTCGTGATGCCAAAATAGCGGCTCCATGATCATTTATTTGTGAAGTTATTCACAAAAAATCATAACCCAACCTTAGGCTTTTTGACGTTGCCTCAAAGGTCACCGGTTGACCTGAATATATTGCCAAATATATTTGTACCTTTGAGTTCGTAATATATAACACTAAATATATTACCAATCACTGCATCTGGTAGCGTCACACACGCTCGTTATTCCCGCGACGCTCTACCTCAATGAATGGCGAAACAGGGAGGGGTCGTAACCGCCCCTGCCTGTGCCCGGAGGCATGTAGAAAACCGACAGGCTAGGCGACGGTTCACGAAACTATGTCGCGAGCTGAATATTTGAAAAGTGAGCAGTGAGTGAGTTAGTGAGTGAGTGAGTGAGTGAGTGAGTGAGTGAGTGAGTGAGTAAGTGAGTGAGTGAGAGATGACTCCAGATCAAGTGATCGGTAAACATGACAAAAACAAGATGTCACCAAACCAGATAATGAGATAACAGCTATTCCAGGCTAAGTGATAGGCGGACGTGACGAAGACCATACGCTGTCAAAACAGATAATGAGATAACGCCAGAGACCCGTCAAAGGTCTTTCCGCCGGTCTGACCGGCCTGAAACAAAATAGCAGGAAGGATCTGCGACCGAGAGGGGATTGTGTAGGTCGGGGTCGGTCGGAGAGGGATGGGGTAGGGGGGTCGGTCGGAAAGGGGATGGGGTAGGTCGGGGTCGGTCGGAAAGGGGATGGTGTAGGTCGGTGTCGGAGCTGTCTTGGGGCGCATTTTGTCCAGTGCCATCTTGGGAAAGGTGCTGTGTGTCAAACTAGCACTCCATCTTTTGAGTAAAGGTGGTTCATATCGAGGAATAAGGGATAATTTAATTTACTTGAGGGATACATAAAACGGAGAATAGAGCTTTCTCCGATGACAGGAGGGGAAGTGCGGAGGATGGAATATGGCCGCATGCGTAAATACAATAGCTGAGAATTTCCATACCCCAATATAGACGTTTTTTCCATTTTGGTGATCGCTTCTATCAATTTTAAATGCACGAATTGAAAGCTTTTATTAACCCGCGCCCTGCTGGGAGGGGGGGGGGGGTGTTTGAACACCCCCCTTGCGGTTTTTCGCGAATACACCTTATCTTTTTGTACACCTTATCATACATCAATTCTACACATGTTGTGAAAATTTCAGACCAAGGTCATTTAAGGTCAGGTCACCAGGTCACTTGAAGTGACCTCACCTCATAAAAAGTTTCAAAATCTGTCATAGCAACACTGAGGGACCGATCGCTTTGAAACTTTCAGCGATTGCTAAGAGCAATAGCATGTACAAAATGTATATCTCAGAATTTTGATATCGATGACCTAAGGTCAGGTCAATTTTGCGACCTCCCCATTATAAGTCAATGGGAGAAAATTGAAATGCGCCTCTTTTGGACGAAAGACATTATAAACACTCCCAAACACTGAATTACAAGTGGTCTAGACACACTGAACATGAAAATGGTGTCCTCGACCCCTGTTTATGCCCTGAGGTCATCTTAGGTCACGAATAGTATCTAACAGTTTTTCGCAAATAACTTTTGATAGAGGCATGCTAGAGCGATGAAAACGCCTTAGATGTGTTCAGCTCGACGATACGGATCGACTGATATGCAACATGACCCTTTCCGGTCAGGTCATGACCTTGACCTGAGGTCAAATTTTCAAGTTGACCTTTCAAGGTCAAGTTATAGTTCATTCGATGCGTCTTGACGAGAGGAACACGATGCCGGTAAAAGTAAGCTCGTACAAGGCTTGGGTCAAAAGCTATTGCAGAAAAACTGTTTCCGAAAAAAATCAGCTATTTTTGCAGTTTTTGCCCCCTGCAGGCAAAACCGTTGACGTTAGGTCAAAGCTGAGAACATTACTCAGAAAGGGCGTTAATAGGGCTATCGAATGCGCTTTTCCGCGGCGCTGTAGCTCTATTGATTCCTGAGTTATGCGTTGGCTTCTTGGAAATTTTCGACATTCGACCTGGAAATCGGCGAAATTTTGCCTTCAATGACCTCTGGTGACCTGACCTTTGACCTGACCAAAAAATTGACCGAAATGATTTCGTCATTATTTTTGGCGCTCTTTCGAACGCCGCCTTCCGCGTATCGCTACGTGGCCCAGGAGCCGAGTTAGATGGGGGGGGGGTGTTCAAACACCCCACCCCCCAGCAGGGCGTGGAAATCCAGGACCCCCAGCCGGGCGCGGGTTAAAACGAGGTTGCTGGACGATGGTACAGGTTTTAGTATCACATCAGTTGGCGGAGGCTTCTTGCGCTTTCCGTAGGGAAGTTAACCCGCGCCCCGTAGGGCTACCGGCGGACCCTACCACCCGTAGGGGGGGGGGGGGGGGCGAAACGGCCCCCCCCCTGAGATCTCGGAAAGTTACCGGCCGATTTTCAAAATTCAAACGGCGTTTGATAGCCCTACCCGGGAACTACCTTGTGACCAAATTTCATTGACCTAGGTCAAACCGATGACGTCACAGGTCAGGTCAAAGGTCAGATTTTCACCGTTCACAGGCAATTCAAGAAATGTGCTGTGAAATCGAGTAAATTGGTAATTTATTGAAAACCATCGATGGTATATTGTTCGTCAAACACATACTTTGCTATCTGAGGTCACTGATACCAGGTCAGGTCACAGCGAGGTCAGGTCACCGGGGGTCACAATATGAATGTGTCGTGTGATACATGTTTTATGGTCCATTTTACATGACAAATGCGATTATGTGGGTTAGGCAGCCTTTGGGGCCAGCCTAGGTCACGTTTTGGTGAAGGTCAGGTCAAGGTCAGGTCAAATTAGGTCAAATTTCAAAGTTGATATTTTTGCATAAAATGGGTATCCATTCGATGCAGCTCGTCACGGGGAGTCTAATGGTGGTCTTTGTTTTGCTCTACGAGTTCTAGAATTGCCAAAAATTGAGTTTGAAAATTTGACGTCATCATTTTTGAACAGTTTTTTCGCTATAACTTGGACAAAAAACGAGGTATCGATCTGAAATTTGGTATGTAGAAGACGGTAGGTACTATCACATATATTCCGGTTTTTTCGAAACTCAAAAAACTTTTTGGAATTTTTGGCTAATATATAAAAAAATGCTTTTTTTATTTTTGGGGATCAAAACTCAAAAATTTCAAAAATCCGAGATAGCAGTTTTGTAGCCCTGTCAATTCTACACCTTTTATGTCTTGATCATTTTTCTGTATCTTCAAAGCTGTAGGCCTGACAGGTCTTCTCGCGAAGGTCTTTTTTCGGTCGAAAATGACAGAACATGACGTCACTCTGACGTCATTTGTGGCCAACCTATCACAGCCTCTGGAAAAATGTTTGGTCACAATGTGTAAAATTGATGCCCGGAGGGGTCCTGAAAGTTTGGTGGCGATATCTCCAGCCGTTTAGGAGATATCGACCGAAAAGGACAGGGGGGGGCCGAAACGGCCCCCCCTACGGGGCGCGGGCTAACGGACTTTGCCTAACTGTATGGCGATAGTTGATTGCAGGTGCGCGGGAACTACTTTCAGACGGGGGGAGGGGGGGCACGCCATAATAGAGATCAATCGAGGGTACCCCCGAATCTAGTTTTCTCACCGGATTTAGGCCACTTATTTTTCATCCCTTGGCTTTTGCAAAAAAAAAGAAAACATTTGCAAAAACGTGCGGTATTCCGTCTCAACGTTGCGGGAGCACCGCCCCCACGACCCCAGAGGTGGGGGGGGGGGGGGGGGCGGTTCCCGTGCCAATGGTTGACTGACCTAAAGTGGTTCGAAGCAAACATTTTACACCCTTTTGCCAAACAAATATGTCGAGAACCACCAAAAAATTGACACTCCTCCGCCGAAAAACGATAATATTATGTAATCGATGTGACAATAATTTTCATCTTTGAGCTCAGTATGTCCTGATGATGGATATTTGCCCGAAATGACTTATACTTATCACTTTTTTTAACAAGTTTGACTATGATAAACAAAGCTTTGCTTATGTTTTATCGTTGAAATGTTTAATTGAAAATCACTTCATTCAGCATTCGATCACTGATTTGCACGCTATGTAGCGGGTGGTGTGCTGTCTCAGTTCCGTTGGTATACAAATATCAAATGGAGGCAGTTTCGTCTTTCGTCACGTGACCACTGGCGACCAATCGGGGACCGTTTGTGCCGTGACGTTCGCGCGGCACGCCGGCCGCTGGGTGCTCTGGTCGCGCGGGGCTCGCGCTGTCCTCAGAGTAGCCGCGCAGATAGCCACACAGTGCCGCATCGCGTGTCGCAGCGGACCGCCAAAATGTGCCGCGATTCCTCCGCCAAACTGCTGGAAGAATCCAGAGACGACATGGTGCTTCATCAGGAGGAAGCTCCTCCGGGCAGCTTCACAGCGACACAGAAGAAGTTACTGGCCGGCCTGGCGCTGGCTAATATGCTGAACGGCTCTCTGGTCGCCATCATGATACCGTTCTTCCCCGTGGAGGCGACCTCGCGGGGCGTGCCGCAGACAACCATCAGTGCGCTCTTCAGCTGTTTCGCCATCGGCCAGATGGTGCTAAGCCCGGTGGTGGGCCGGTTAGCGCCCGTGCTCGGAGTGACACGCCTCTACAACATCGGCCTGAGCGTGGCCGGTGTGACGACAGTGGTGTTCGGCTCGCTTAACTACATCGAGAACACGGACCTGTTCGTGGCCGCCTGCTTCCTGACGCGGCTGGTGGAGTCGGCCGGCATGGCGGCCGTCACCACCTGTGGCTACACGATCGCCGGCAGCCAGTTCCTCGGGCGCGTCAACACTGCCGTGGCCTGGCTGGGCTGCTCTCTCACCGCCGGGCTGGCGCTCACGCCCATCATCTGGGGCGGCCTCTACGCCATCGGCGGCTTCGGCGCACCCTTCTACACCCTCGGAGCCGTCATGCTGGTGGTGGCCGCCTTCAACTCGTGGCTGATGCCCTCCGTGGCGGAGGAAGCTGGACGCGCGCGGCCACCCTTCTTCCGCACGCTGCTTGTCTTCCTCGGCTCCACAGACAACCTGATCTGCATGGTCACCGTGTTCATGTTCTCCACCGACTTCAGCACTGTGGACGCCAGCATCGCGCCCTACGCCGACGCCGTGCTGGGCATCACGCCGGCCATGATCGGGGTCTATCTGTTCGTCACCACCAGCCTGTACGTCGTGGCCAACTACTTCTGGGGCTGGCTGGCCGAGCGGACGCGCATACCGTTTGCGTTGATTGCTCCCTGCCTGATGTTCTGCAGTGTTGGTCTGCTCCTGCTGGCGCCGTCGCCGCTGCTCGGTCTGGAGCCCTCCAAGTGGCTGCTCGGGACCGGCATGGCCATCGAGCAGGTGTTCTTCGGCGGCGCGTTCACGCCCTGCTACAAGGTGATGCTGGACGCGAGCATCGCGCGCGGATTGGAGGACAGTCTCACCACGCAGTCGTTTGTCTCGAGCGTGCTGCAGACCATGTTCACGATGGGCGTGGCCGTGGGACCCGTGTCGGGCGGCGCGCTTATCGACGCCTACGGCTTCCCCGTGATGACCACCGTGCTGGCCCTCATCACCATGGCCTTCGCAGTGCTCGTCGCCATCAAAGCGTTCGTCCGGCACGGCTGCTGCCGGGACGCAGCCCAGGCCGCCAACAACAACTGTGCGCCGTGGAAACGGTCAAAGTATGAAACAATAGGCGCTTAGGAAAATACACGAAGGGGGTAATGCAATAGAATAGCGGGTTAAGGCCAAATTATGTGTTCACATGCTCATGATGTTGTACAAAATGTGACAGAAGCTAGACTCTTTGAAAATGCTTCTGCCGCTTCGCGCGCCCTTGTAGAGATCATCTATGCGATTTGTCATCTATGCGATTTGTCATCTATGCGATTTGTCATTTCATGTTGTCATTTTTATTTATATTGTCACCGCCTTATTAATCAATCTGTTACCTGTTGTCAATTGCGCGTCAAGTTTGTTTGTTATTTGTAAACCGGCCTGCCGCTGGCCTCAACCTTCCTAGTAACCGCTGTGCCATACGCTATAGAACGTGTCGTGCAAAGGTCACGGCGGCACCCCTGAGGCGGCCGCTGCCCGTACGTTTAGGAGCCCATTGTCGTGACGTCATGACTGTGGACAAAGGTCGCGGTAGGGGCTCTCCCGGCAGCCGGACGGTGACTCATACGTTGAGCTTGTCTCTCGCCGCGCCTGCGGGCATATTGGTAGTACTAGGGACGGCCAGCATATGACCGCGGTTTTCGGCGACATTGTCAATTCGTTTCTCGACTCTGCTGTTCGCTACAAGACAAATACACATAGAAAACGGCTCGGGCATTTGGAGAAGAGCGGCTACTCTGAGGCGAAGGAAGAACACGGAGATTCACACAAACGACCTGACTAGGTTGCACCGGCCACAGTCGACCGAGGTGGGCTTCTGCGCCCTTAAAGACGCCTCTGACTGGCCATTGCGCTGACACCCTGGTCGGACCACGGTCATTGATCGGACCCTGCCACTGGTTCGTGCTCAGGCTGCCTTAGCGGGTAGACCTGCTCGACCAGACGCCCCACTGGTGGGCGAGTGCTCGGTTCCGACTTTCACCGCCGGTCCAACAGCGTTCTGCTGGTTCCCGCCGATCCGGTTACGACACCGCAAGTGCCGTACCGACTCGGGCGTCCCAGGTGGGCGTAACGGTTACCACACCAGTTCGCGACCCCCAGGCTCTGTCAGCCGTCGTACGGCTCTCGGACGGACACTCTAATAGATCAGCCACAGATCAATAGATTGTCACGGACCGTCCGTCCAGCCACGCGCTACCCACAGCGCAGTACGACAATTGGTGACCCCGACGTGATCTCCGTTGTTCGACCTTAGCCTCTCGTCATGCCCGCGGACAGCGCACAGTCCGGCGCCGCAGCTCAAGACTCGGCCAGCGTTCCAGCTTCAGCCTCCGAGTCAACTCATCGGCCCATGGCTAGCTTCCGGCTACCACCATACTCTCCGGAAGAGCCCGACCTGTGGCTACTGCAGGTGCAGTGCGCTTTCGACGTCAGCGGGGTCGACTCCGACGAGCTGAGGTTTAAGCTCCTCGTCGCAAACCTCCCCGCCAACATCGCCGTCCAGGTCAAGGACGTCATCCGGTCATCCCGGTCTTTTGACGTGCTGTGTGCAGCGCTCCAAGCCCGCCTGGCACAGTCACGCGCCGACCGACTACAAGCCCTGCTCGGCCGCCAGCAGCTCGGCGATCAGAAGCCGACGGCGCTGTTGCGCTCAATGCGCAACGAGCTAGCCGCAGCCGGGGACGCACCGGTTGATACGGAGCTCTTCCGTACCCTATTTCAACAACGGCTACCGCAGCCCGTCCGTGCTGCCCTCGCCCTCCTGCCAGCCGACAGCACGCTTGACGCACTGGCAGAAGCGGCCGACCGGTACCTGGAAGCTAGCGGACCCGACCCACGGCTATCAGCGATCGCGGCACAGCCGTACACACAGCCGGCACCGCCCATCGCTGCTGCAGTGACAGCCCCAGCGCCAGCTGCAACCCCTGCGCTGGACACCGTCATCGCCTCCCTGGTCGCTAAGATGGAGCGCCTGGAGGCCAGCAACCGACGACTCGAGGACGCCGTGCGACGCGACCGCAGCCGTTCCCGGCCGCGCCAGACATCTCGCCAGTCACGCCGCCCGTCACCGGCTCGTCCTTCAACGCCGCCGCACGACGACACGCTGTGTTGGTACCACCAGCGATTCGGCGCCCAAGCGCGCCGATGCAAGTTGCCGTGCTCCTGGATCGCCTCGGAAAACTGAGGCGCCCCGTGCTAATGGCGCAAAGCACGGGCGCCCCTCCTGCCGCGCCACTACTCTTCGTGAGGGACACGGAGACGGACCGGCAATTTCTAGTCGACACCGGGGCGCAGGTCAGCGTGCTGCCTCGCCGCTGCCTGCCCAACGGGTCTACGCTGACCCCTGCTCCTGTCGGCCAGCAGCTCGTCGCGGCAAACGGCTCACCGATCGCGGTGCACGGCACCTGCCTGCTGGACGTCACCTTGAGTCAGCAGCACCGCCTGAAACATCGATTCTTTGTCACTGACGTCACCACACCCATCTTGGGCACCGACTTCCTGGCCGCACATCACCTCGTCGTGGACGTTGCCAACCAGCGTCTCCTGCGGGACGGCACCGTCTGCGCCAGCGCCGAGCGGTCAAGGCTGTGCTCCATCGGAGTGCGTCTCGTTCGGGAGAAGGCTCGCTTCGCAGCTGTCCTCGCCCGGTACCCGGATGTGACCTCACCAAAACCTGGACCAACACCGGTGAAGCACAACGTGACGCACCACATCGTCACCAAGGGTCCACCGGTGTACCAGCGGCCACGACGCCTCCCGCCGGAGCGCCTTCAAATCGCACGTGCCGAGTTCAACAAGATGCTCCAGCAAGGCATCATTCGACCGTCGAGCAGCAGCTGGACAACTCCACTCCACATGGTGCCAAAGAAGAGACCCGGCGAGTGGCGTCCTTGCGGCGACTACAGAGCGCTGAACGCCCGCACGGTACCAGACCGCTACCCACTGCCGTACCTGCGGGACTTTTCAGCCGACCTGCATGGGTGCACCGTCTTCAGCACCATCGACTTGGTGAAGGCGTACCACCAGATCCCGGTGGAACCTGCCGACGTCCCCAAGACAGCCATCACGACACCGTTCGGCCTCTACGAATGCGTTCGGATGCCGTTCGGCCTCAGAAACGCCGGACAGACCTTCCAGCGTTTCATGGATGAGGTCCTCCGCGGCATACCGGGCTGCTTCGTCTACCTGGACGACATTCTGCTGGCCAGCCCGACTGCCGAACACCACCTGCAGCTCCTGGACCAAGTGCTTCAGCGCCTCAACACCTACGGCGTCGTCGTCAACAGGCACAAGTGCGTCCTGGGACAGGAGCAGGTGGTGTTCCTCGGCCACTCGGTAGACGCCGACGGCGTCCGCCCGCTGCCTGGACGAGTCGAGGCCATCAAAGACTTCCCGGAACCGACCACTCAGTCCCAGCTACGGAGGTTCCTGGGGATGGTAGCCTACTACCACCGCTTCATCCCCCAGGCAGCCGAGCTCCTGCAGCCTCTGCACGCCTTAATCACCCACAAGGCAAAACGCTCGAGAGCGCCTGTCACGTGGACAGACTCGGCGCGGCAGCATTTCAAGAACGTCAAGGACGCCCTGGCCACGGCGACACATCTCGCACACCAAGTCCCGGACGCGCCGCTCGCCCTCTTCGTCGACGCCTCGGACTGCGGAGTGGGCGCCGTCCTCCAGCAGCACGTCGCCGGCGAGTGGCAGCCCCTCGCTTTCTTCTCAAAAACGCTCCAACCTGCGGAGAAGAAATACAGCACGTTCGGGCGCGAGCTGCTCGCTATCTACCTGGCCGTCCGGCACTTCAAGCACGCCATCGAAGGACGGTCAGCAATCATTTTCACAGACCACCGACCACTGGTAACGGCCATCGGCTCCTCGTCCGACCGCTACTCGCCACGAGAGGTCCGCCACCTGGACTACATCGGCCAGTTCGTGTCTGACATCCGCCATGTGCCTGGCAAGGACAACGTGGTCGCCGACACGCTGTCACGCACGGTCTCGATGGTGGCCCAGCCGCGACCCCCGCTCGCCGACTTCACTGCCATCGCCAAGGCCCAGTCCGAAGACAGCTCGCTGGAAGACCTCGAGGCCTCAGACACCTCACTGCGCCTGCGCCACATCCCGGTCGGCGATGGACTCTGTCTGCTCTGCGACGAGTCCACCGGATCGCCTCGGCCGGTCCTCCCGGAGGCGCTGCGCCGGCCCTTCGCCAAGGCTCTGCACGACCTGTCGCACCCTGGCGTCGAGGCCACCGTCAAGCTCGTCTCTAAGCGGTTCGTCTGGCCCGGTATGGATCGCGACGTGCGCCGCTGGACCCGAACCTGCCTCGCCTGTCAGCGCTGCAAAATCGGCCGGCACACCAAGTCTGACGTCGGCACCTTCCAGCCACCTCAGCAACGCTTCGACCACGTCCACGTGGACCTCGTCGGCCCGATGCCTCCGTCAAGAGGGCACTCGTACCTCCTGACGTGCGTCGACCGGTTCACTCGGTGGCCAGAAGCCATCCCTCTGCCGGACAGCCGCACCACCACGGTCGCCCGCGCCTTCCTCGAGCACTGGGTCGCCCGATTCGGCGTTCCGTCCATCATCACGACGGACCGAGGTGCCCAGTTCGAGTCGGCCCTCTGGTCGGAGCTACAGCGATTCCTGGGCTGCCAGCGAACTCGGACGACGTCCTACCACCCGGCCTGCAACGGTATGGTGGAACGCCTGCATCGCCAGCTGAAGGCCAGCCTCCGTGCACACCAGGCTACGTCATGGACGGACGTGCTGCCGCTGGTGCTCCTGGGCATACGCTCCACCATCAAGGCGGACCTGCAGGCGACGTCAGCCGAGCTGGTGTACGGCTCCTCACTGCGGCTTCCCGGCGAGTTCTTCATCAGCAGCCAAGCCTCAGCAGCATCACCAGCCGGCTTCGTACAGGACCTGAAGCGCGCCATGTCTCAGGTGCGGCCGACACTCCCACGTCCGGTCCAGCGCGCCACGTACGTCCCGACGGCACTCCAGACGGCGACACACGTCTTCGTGCGCAGGGACTGTCACCGCTACCCGCTGGACGCTCCATACGACGGACCGTTCCCGGTTACCGAAAGGACCACCAAAACCATCACCATCGACCGTCGACAGAAAAAGGAGGTCATCAGCATCGACCGGTGTAAGGCCGCCTTCCTGGAGACGCCAGACGAATCCGGTCATCGACAGTCTGACCTGCCGACTGTGCAGCCGCACGGTACTCAGTCCAGCGGCCCGCCGGCCGCGCCACCGCTCAGCAATGAGCCCAGCGGCCCGGAGCTTCTGATCTACGGTGACGCACCTAATCGCCCTGCAGCCGTCGCTCGGGCTGACGCTGCACCATTGCAGCCTCGGCCGATACTACGGACGACCCGCTCCGGCCGCGTCATACGACCTCCGGTAAGATATCGCCATGTCACTTTTGTCCGCGACATGTCTGGCGAGGGGGTACTGTAGAGATCATCTATGCGATTTGTCATCTATGCGATTTGTCATCTATGCGATTTGTCATTTCATGTTGTCATTTTTATTTATATTGTCACCGCCTTATTAATCAATCTGTTACCTGTTGTCAATTGCGCGTCAAGTTTGTTTGTTATTTGTAAACCGGCCTGCCGCTGGCCTCAACCTTCCTAGTAACCGCTGTGCCATACGCTATAGAACGTGTCGTGCAAAGGTCACGGCGGCACCCCTGAGGCGGCCGCTGCCCGTACGTTTAGGAGCCCATTGTCGTGACGTCATGACTGTGGACAAAGGTCGCGGTAGGGGCTCTCCCGGCAGCCGGACGGTGACTCATACGTTGAGCTTGTCTCTCGCCGCGCCTGCGGGCATATTGGTAGTACTAGGGACGGCCAGCATATGACCGCGGTTTTCGGCGACATTGTCAATTCGTTTCTCGACTCTGCTGTTCGCTACAAGACAAATACACATAGAAAACGGCTCGGGCATTTGGAGAAGAGCGGCTACTCTGAGGCGAAGGAAGAACACGGAGATTCACACAAACGACCTGACTAGGTTGCACCGGCCACAGTCGACCGAGGTGGGCTTCTGCGCCCTTAAAGACGCCTCTGACTGGCCATTGCGCTGACACCCTGGTCGGACCACGGTCATTGATCGGACCCTGCCACTGGTTCGTGCTCAGGCTGCCTTAGCGGGTAGACCTGCTCGACCAGACGCCCCACTGGTGGGCGAGTGCTCGGTTCCGACTTTCACCGCCGGTCCAACAGCGTTCTGCTGGTTCCCGCCGATCCGGTTACGACACCGCAAGTGCCGTACCGACTCGGGCGTCCCAGGTGGGCGTAACGGTTACCACACCAGTTCGCGACCCCCAGGCTCTGTCAGCCGTCGTACGGCTCTCGGACGGACACTCTAATAGATCAGCCACAGATCAATAGATTGTCACGGACCGTCCGTCCAGCCACGCGCTACCCACAGCGCAGTACGACACCCTCATCGTCAACAGTATTAGCTGTACCTATATGCAATCTTATAAGGCAGAAGGTTGACTTTGATATGTATCATACTAGTGCGTATGGGGTCACAATTGGTCTGATTCGGAAGTTTATGATATTGTAGAACCAGAGAAGTCTAATCACGTGATGGTGGTGAAAATGGAAATGTGTTTGATGTATCGTTTTTACCGGCTGTACATATAGCACCGTGTGTCAGTGACCACACGCTAGCATGACTAGGTATTTCATTTTGTATCTTTGTGGTAATACAACAGATACATGAATGCGAAATTTCGACCAAAAAATAAAAAAGGTATAGTTATGAACTCAGGAGCTCAAGCATTTCTTTCTTCCCTCCATAATGATAAGACCACGACGAAAATCCTCTCCCCTCGTCCACATCAGCACACGGCCATATCAAGCATGTTTTTTACGAGAAAATGGTTCCTGGCGCTCGTTTATTTGGCTTCTGGTTTGCTGCTAGGACTAAGTGTAATTTGAAAATCCGTCGAACAATTTGAGACCGTTATTAGTATTTAAGTGCAACGTGTACCTAATGAATTGGATGGAATGGGTTTGAATAGCTACCTTATGCCTTTCGAAGACAAACGCTAATAAAAGTTAAGAATAAAAATATAGTGCCGTGTTTTATAGGTAATTATGGATGATAGCTGATACATCTCCGATTCTTTGCATTGCATACTAGCAGCACACGTATCACAAATTAAAAGTACCAAAGCGTAGCGAAAATAAACGGAATGCTGTGATTAGTGATCCAATGCCTTTCGTTATATAAGCGTTTCGCAATCATCGAACATCTGGTTTGCAAACATCGTAGGGTGTTCAGAATGCAAGATTCGCAACATTCAAGCTTGCGTAAAATGGAGAAGGGGGAGGACATGGGAAAACCACTTCATCCAATGGCGAGTGTCTAGGGCTATATGAGCCCGTTGGGCCGTCTGTGGCCACCAATTTGTTATACGTCTTGACAAGAAATTGCTTCAAAATAAGACATATGCAGTTAAGCCTTAACTTATAAAAATACCACGAGGAGTTGACATTGTTCTGTAAAACAGCCCAACGACATAATATTTATTAGATGTTAATGTTATGATATCATTACTAGGTTTACGAGGTCAATGTTATCAAGCTATTTAAGTTGTCCTTTTGCTTCTGATGCGAGTGAGCGACCATTGGATTTTTTCCTAAAAGAAGGAAAGCGGATTTTTATGTCTTTAAGTGGCGCTGAAGTGATCCCACTTGATAATCTGACAAGCAATCTGATAATCTGAAAATTGACCTAGGGCTAGATTTTTACAACTTATGTAATGAGATATGTGGTAGCGTGTGCTAAAAACGGCAAGCACCTTTTTGTATTTTCATTAAAAAAGAGGGAACAGGAAATTTCTCCGTCGCTATGTAAGTTAAGAACTTGATTCACCACCTGCTTTGCTCACATGTAATTTAGCCGTGCTGTGGGCTTCCGATAACATGGTTTGGCACCTTATCGTCTTTTTTTCCTTTTTGTTCAGAATAACGGAGATCGCGTTATTCTCGATCGCTTCATTGCAAGCTGATTTGAATTTTTGACAACTACCGTGCTGTTAATTTTTTCATAAGCTTTTGATTATCTCTCGAAGCTCTCCTAAGGCTGTTGATAATTTTTTTTTTTTTTAGGAAATAGCGACTCTGTGTCTGGGGCTACCATCTCGCTTTCAAGTGTGTGATGTGTTTACTCAGTTTACTGTTAAGAGAATATCAGTAATCAGTCATCCCAAACATGTTCAAGACTCAAGAGAGCGGCTATCTTGTCTTATTGACGTCACTAGCGTAAGCTATGGCCCCGCCTGGCCACTACATAAGAGGAAAAGTGGCTCCAAAGTGGTTCCCCGCCTAATTTCCTACCACTTACTACAGCGAGCTACCGCTTAGAATAGGTGAGGACGAACCCGAGACAGGAGTGAATGGTCGAGGGGATGGATGCTGCTGTTTTGTGGATCCGTTGTAGCTTCGTCCGAGGTGTTTTAACGCTGTCCGTGATTCGTATTCTAAAATATTGCACGCTTTGGCTCGGGAAGGCCTTTGCTCACTGAACTTCGGAGGTCCCACATGGGGAAAAGTGGCCACGTTGTGATCATACGAGGCCGGTGGGAAGGGAGGGGACAGGTATAGAATAGGGCCATTCTCTATACCGGACGGGGCCGCTCCCTGTAACGGACAGGTCCGTTTTCTATACCGGCCAGCGTCCCAATCAGCGTGACTAAACTGACTACGGCTGCCCGTCCGGGCGGTCAGAAGTCGACCACTTCATGCTGCTCCGAGCCGCTGTTGTTTTAGTCTTGTGCTTGCTTATAGTTAAAAGTCATCGTGATTGTAAGCCAGCTATGGTTTTCGTCGTTTCGTCGTCAGCTATGGTTTCGTTACAGCTAAATATGTGCTTAAAGACGTGTGATGTTTTTGCTTTGTTTACGAATGGGGCTAAATATACATCCTTCTATCTTAGCTGTTGATATGGGGATTGGCTCATAAAAAGGCATTTTTGTTCATAGTCATTGATAAATGTTTGTATCCCTTTTTATCAGTTGCATTACCAATAGTTTTTTTTTTTGTCAATTTCTTAAGAACCATCATTTTCGGAGAAAAAGGAAAAATAAATGAGATAGCATTGCACCGGCCCTCTCCTCGGCTTGGACGGCGCTAAAAGTGTGAAAAGTCTAAGTGCGCACCGGCTTGGGCACTAAAGACCAGCACGCGGTGACTACTATCTGGTCGGCCAGATGGACGACCGTTCTGCGTAGTCTCCACGCATTCACCCACCTCAAAGAGTGTATCCTCAATAAAAATGCTAAAATTGACCTTTTGCTCATAATATCGAGACCTTTTTTCAATGAATTTCTTCGATATTATAAGCATAAAATCAATTTTGCAATTTTATTGACTACAAAAATGCTCCGAGGAACGTTGTATAAAACTGGAATAAAACAAATAAAACTGAAATATATAAAACTGAGTGTATTCTCACTGGAGGGCTGACTGTCCACCGATTGTCTTGTATTGTCGATGCCGGACAATATGCCAAATGTGAACGCTGATCCATGAAACGGAAGGTTTATTTATGAGGCTGGACTATAAAGGGCAGTTGTGAAATGGTGAGTACCAGCTAGCGGCAGACAAAATGTGACTGCAGCTGGTGCATACGTCAAAATCTGCAGCTGTACCATCGCGAAACTGTACCCGCGCTTATCGCTAGCCCATAGCTTCTGTGCTCGTGTACATTTCATTATTGTTTATGAAGGACCACCAGTGCCTCTTCTGTTTCTGTTTGTATCTCCCCGAGACCAAGTGTTGACTGTTGAGTGTTGATATAGCCCTCCTTTTTCATTGATGAAATTATCAAAAATACTGCGCGAATGGCTTCTCTACATCCGCTGCAATTTGAACTTTAATGGCTACCCGCAGTCATATGCATTTTATGCTTCCCACATTCCGCATCGCCTATTTGGAAAAAGCCCGCGTTTAAATATGTCGGCGAGGTCGCTATTAATAGCTCCTCGACTGATAGTCATGAGTAGGTGCAGATACATAGCCATTGATGTGTAGCGTTCGCTGGTCCACTCAGAGATAAAACACGGGCACAAACGGAGGGAGAACGACGCACGCCGGAGACATGTGATCTGTACAGTAATAGCCGTAAATATGCCGAACCGAAATCGATGTAAATATAGATAACGCTAGGGGGTCTGCACGGCTGTGCTTTTTCACAAATTACAGCCCACCCCTGGCCACAGCTGTTGTGAACAGCATTGGCATTCAAAATATCAGTCTTGATCCCGGGAAAAAGCACGGCTGGAGGACGGCAACCCGCCAGTTTATATAACAACCGGCCGCATCAAAATATATTGGGATACAGTGACGTACCCAAGGGGGGGGGGGGCACGGGGATGTTTTCAAACACTGGATAAAACGTCTTTTACTAGGAAGAAAAATGATATCAAAGTTTCATTTTTGTGCCCCTGGTTACCCGAGGGGCCCCTGATGACCCGATGGGCCCTACAGTCATCCGAGGGCCCCCGGTTTCCTGGGCCCCTGGTCGCCTAGGGGGCCCCTGGTAGCCGGGGCCTGGTCGCATGGGGGCCCCTGATTGCCTGGGGTCCCTAGTCGCCTAGGGGGCCCTGGTAGCCGGGGAGCCTGGTCGCATGGGGGCCTCTGGTCGCATGGGGCCCCTGATCGCCTGGGGCCCCTAGTCGCCAAGGGGGCCCCTGGTAGCGGGGGCCTGGTCGCATGGGGCCCCTGGTTGCCTTGGACCCCTGAGGGCCCCTGGTTGCCTGGGGCCCCTGGTCGCCTGGGCGGCCTGGGGGCCCAGGGTGACCTAAGGGCCCCTTCGGAAGCAGGTGGCCCCCTCCTGGGCAAAATCCTGGGTACGTGCCTGTTGGGATATATACAAATTATATAGACTTAGAGACATGTTAGTGTGGAGAGCAAATAGATATTATAGGATTAAATTGGACTTACTCCACAAGAGAATCGTTTTCGGTCGGAGCTTTCGACATGTATTACATGTCCTCTTCAGCGAAGGTCGGTAATCGGGGCGAAAATAAAACGTTCGGGTCGAATCGAATCGCACAAGATGTCTTGTGATGTCTCGACATCACAAGACATGTCTCGACAAGATGTCTCGACATCTTGTGCGATTCGATTCGACCCGAACGTTTTATTTTCGCCCCGATTACCGACCTTCGCTGAAGAGGACATGTAATACATGTCGAAAGCTCCGACGGAAAACGATTCTCTTGTGGAGTAAGTCCAATTTAATCCTATAATACAAATTATATAATAAAACATTTTTTTAAGCACAGACAGGTACGAACAGTTTCGAAGATTCAATGTGCCAGCATATATTTGCTAAGAACACAATCTTTATCGGCTTGGGACCAGAAAAAAGGTCTTATTCCACAAACTTAACCCTATTCCTGGCGGGGGGGGGCCTTTAAGGCCCCCCTTCAGGTTTTTCTTGTGTCATTGCCAAACGGCGCAACACTGAAAGCTCATACTCGGTGACTTTTTCTATACATTCATTGCGCACATTTTGACGAAAAAAAGTTGCCGGGTCAGGTCAGGTCAGGTCACCAGAGGCGGTTTGGTGTCCCCACCTCAGAAAAGTTTGCAATCACGCCAGAGCTAGAGTTTTTGACCGATCAATTTCTTCTCTTCAGGTTTTAGTTAGGGTACCAGTATGTGCAATTTGTATATCTCAGAATTTTCATATCTGTGACCTGAGGTCAGGCCAGACTCGTGACCTTTACATTACAAGCCTATGGGAAAATATTGAAACGCCTCCTGCTTCGTGTAAAACGAGTCAAAACCACCCAATTCTTTCAGTATTATAGAAGATTATCTCATCGGTGATGATCCTGGTGCCGCTAATCGACAGGGGCACCGGCAAACGTCATCTGAGGTCATGTGACGTCATAAATCGTTTTTCTGTCAATAAATCACGACATGATGGTGCTAAAGACTTGTAAGTGGTACCAAACTGCTCGCCTGGTCAAGGCGCGTCGTTTGGTATGCAGCATGACCATACCCCACAACCTCATTGATGAATGACCTGACCTTGACCTCAGGTCAAATTTCAAATTGA